GGGATGGTATTGTTTTGTAGCCCTTGACTTGCTCTATCTACTCTAAAAGTTTCACTTCTCCACCATCGACCTATCAAAAGTTATTCAAAAAATGGCCACCCTTTTTTTGTTTTGAAACAGGTATTAGTGCCTTGATTCTGAACACTTTTCATGTTTTGCTTCTCTTTGATCTTAAAATTTCAATCAACGTCGCTCGTTACGTAAGTCCGAGGGACAGTAACATTAAAATGATTGATTTATAGCTGTGATTGCTATGAACATCTACTCTACTATATATAATCGCAATTGCTAAAATTTAGAACCCGTCAGGATAATCCCACAACTGAATCCGATAGATTTCGGTATCAAGTCTGCGTCGTAATCCGAAAGTCCCAGACCAGACAAGGTTCACTCATGTGAGATATGTGTGGGGTACGCTAGTTACTGAATACGGAAATTCAGAAAAAAAGTATCTCGTAGCTTCGGAATGACTATTCTATGCTGATTAGAGACTTTCATTGAAAGTCCAAGTAAAAATATCAGACATCAGATCGAACAAGGTCTTGCAAGATCATATGCATATAAGATTTTTTATATGCTCTTAAGAAAAGATCCATCGAGTTCGCATGCTCAATGTAAATGCAACACTTCGCCGGATTCTTAATATAAGATGCAACGAAAATCTTACAAGAATCTTAACATAGAAAACTTACAAGAGCAGCTATTACAGTACTAATCTAATCATATAAAACCAGACAAGTTCTATCATCAATGAAGCATATACGATTTTCTGATCTCCAATCCTATAATATCGTGTAAGATAAAATATTAAAGTCTGTTGTTTAAAGTGTATGTGTATCAATTAAAATTCAATTGTTTCAAAATCATAAACACCCAAGCATAAGCCCAGGTCTTTTTATTACAAAATATACTTGAGTGAATTGCAATTTATTGGTACCATTGAGATTTTTGCTATATTTGGCTAATAACTTTTGTTTCCTTAAACCGATTTTGACAATTTCTTCTATATGTTATTAGTCTCTGACTATCTCACTGCTACGCCAAATTTCAGTTCTTTAGTTCCTACTGTCGCTGAGTTTATGAGCGTATACTATGAAAATATTCTACTTTATAGTGACATGTACTAAAAAAAAGAAATTTTTGAGCAATCAAATGGAGAGTAACAAAATCATGAAATGTACTCTCGAAATATATATTTGTCACGCCTGCATCCTCTTCTTTCTATGATCTTTCGTACACGATGCGCTATGTCAAACACATTGCCGTTTTTGTGTAGACGGACACTGTATTTCAATGTTCTTCTAAGGCACAAAAGTTGAAGGAAAACGAACGTATTCAAAAGGTGAAGAAATTAATAAGTAAGCAACTGATGAAAAGTCGTGTCGTCTTAATGATTTAAACAAGAATTCAGGTTTACAAATCTAAAGTAGTCTTAGTGCATTACAAGGGTGTGGGTGTGTTTTTCTTCTTTAACTCACACCCACACCCATCCTTAAAATAATATAGTATATGCATGAAATTATATTTGACGTTTCAGTAGAGATAGATGAATACGCTTCAAACTCTTAAGGAATATTATTTTCGGAGTAAACATTGCGTTTATCTCTTCAATAGATAGATAGATAAGTGTCTTCACTACATACTCAGGCAGAAGCGAAACGTCAAAAATACCGTATAAACGGTTACATTCATATGTGTAGAAGCCGAAGACTGCTTACGGCTATTCAACTTTCAACTGGGGTTGTGGAGTATCGATGACGGGGGTATGTTGGTGGGAGGATGGGGAGGGGTATTGTGGTGTGGGGGCGCTGTATGTTCGTGTGAGTGACGGGAGGGGAGCAATATGTTGGTGCGGTTTTGGGGGAGGACATGTCAGTGCCGCCGTTGAAAGTTGAATAGTTGAAAATTTAATAGTTGAATCGACTTAACGGTTTCTATACTACTGGGGATATCAAGGTAAGAATATAGGCTGAAGGCTTTAGAAGTGAGATTATAGAGTTATAAGACTACATATTTAAGGCTATATGGGTAAGGGTATAGGTATTAGAGTTTAGATATAAGGACATTGGGATAAGAACATAGATATAGAGGGTGTGAAGGTATAGATATAAAACTATAAGGTACTTGCATAGGTGAAAGGATATAGAAATAAGGGTACCCTCAATTAATGTTAAGTAGTTCTAGGAGTCATGATGTATATTATTGTATATTGTATCAAAATACAAAACGAAAACAGCACTACACATACACATATTTAGAATTTGGAGCTGGCTTAGAAAACTTGAAATGATATCAGTAGATTATTTATCATATATGAGACACACACGTTATCCATAACCAATCAACAGAAATTTAAGCTATTTTCAAAAAATACTAAAAGAATAGTTAGGAAAAAAATTGGTAGACGAGAGCCTGTAATCAATTTTTGCCAATATTTAATCAAATCGATGAGTAGTGTTTATTTTTTCGCGAGAGAGAAATATTTAATTTTGAATAGATCTTAATATTTATTTAAATAGACGAAAATTCTTGGATTTAAAAAAATAACATGAATAGAAGTATTTTTTACAAGTTATGGAACTTCTACCAAAATAAAAAGCTTGAAACTTGTATAAATTACTTCTATTCATGTGTTATTTTTTTAAAATGCAAGAATTTTCGTTTATTTAGATACATATTAGGATTTATTCAAAATTAAATATTTCCTCTTTCGTGAAAGAATAAAAACTGTTCATTGATTTGATTAAATATTGGTTAAATACTGTAAATAAGGTATCGTTTACTACATATTAAATCATGGAAAATAATACGTTTAAACAGTGGGACATTAAGCATCGTTTTAACGATAAAACAGTGTTCTTTTAACTGTCCGAGATAATGTTCAACTCGAAAACTTACCTTATTTTATAAAACTATTTTGTAGCAGAACTGATTCTTTAATGTAGTAGATAGAAAATGTTGTTGTGATACGTGTGTTTTATTCTTAAGAAAAAGAATATTCCTGACTTTGCTAAAATTATCACAATCATCGCCCACTTTAACTGTAAACTATCATCAATAAATATCATGCATCCAATATCATGACCTCTTTAATATTATAAACACAATCATACATCAAAAGTTGAGGTCTTGAATTGTCAACTATATATTAACAAAATTTTAATAAAGTCGCAAAATGACTACTCATGCCAACAAATGTGCAGTTCCATAGGGGCATATAAACGATTGTGTGTGTTTCATATTTCTCCAGATATGATCACATTATACCATATTATCATTGTAAACTTTTGTAAAAATATATTGAGGAATATACAATTATATGAGGAGCAAGAAGGAGACCGTATACAGCATTAGTATTCCAGTCAATAAAACAACAACAACAAAAATCGTATAAATGCGTTGGAATTTTAATAAAAGCAAAATTGTAAAAAACGCTCATTTTTACGTGCTTAATACGCAGGAAAGCCATCAGAAGAATAGATTGTTTTTAGAAATTTTGAAGATGTTATAAATGCGTTGAAATGTTCTCTTTTTCACAATTTTAATTTTTAAAATAAATATATGCAACACTTGAGACTTTAAATTTTACTTGAGATATAAAATTTGATCTATTTATTTAATGAAGTTCAGGGTGTGGGTGTAGATGTTGGAGTGTATCTTCTATCAAACCCATCCACACCTAAAAAAAGTCAAACCAAAAGTACCCATTATTGTCTACTGTATGAATGTCGCTTACCATAAAGAGTGGGCAGAGAAAATCGGTGGTCAAACAAAAGTAGAAGTGGCACGAAATACAATGGCTGTCTTTGATTTTATTAAGAGGGTGTCGGTGTTGGTGTGAGTGTGGATGTGGGTGGATCTGATAGAAAATACACTCCAACACCCATACCCACAGTTAAACGATCCTGCGAATATTTCTGCTTCTTACCGAAGATGATGACAAATAAACGAATATAATCGTTTGTCTCAGTTTAAAAAAGTTACTTTTTGAGATTTAAAAGAGCCTTTCTAAAAAAGTAAATCGTATAATCAATAACATGTTTTATTCTACTCATATTCGCAATTTAATCTATTAAAAAAGATCAACAAAAGAAATTTTAGAAAAATGAATGCCATTTTTCAATGATAATGACTATAGAGATGATTATTTCGCCATTTTCTAGAGAACCTTATTCTCTCTTTTACATATTGGAAACTAATAGATCATTATAAAAGTTAAGATAAGCCGTTAGAAAGATGTATTTCGAGTTCTGTTCCTTGAGCAAGGAACCCAGGAATTCTTATTCATTTGCCACAAAACTGAAGAAAATTTGACCAAAAAAAGATCAGCGCGTTCGAAAACACACAAAGACAATTCGTCAAATGTGTTCGCGTTCCTTGGAAATGGAACACTACGGAACGGGAACTCTAATAAGCATACGCCCGATTGTTTGATCTGAGCGTTGCTTTGTACTCTGCAAAATTAATTCCTGTTGTAAACGTATGTGAATGGCTATATTCAAGGGTGTGGCATGAAGAATGATAGAGCCTGAAACTACAGACCGGTTTTCTGCTTCCTGGGAACCCGAAAACCTATAGTAACTTGTTACAAAATGGAAGAAAATATATATTGAGACATCAACGTATCCGAAAACGCACAAAAATGAATTTTCAGATGTGTTCGCGCTGCTTGAAAATGGAATCCTCAGGAACGGAAAGTATAGCATCCCTAATTCTAGTAATGATAGATGTGCTCTTTTTTTTCCATAACATGATTTCTTTTTGCTTATATTTATTTTATGTGGTTAAAGAAAAATTATACGATTGTAAATTAGGAAAATACTGATAGAAGTCTTTTGATAAATATTGTTGGCCAGGACCAGCTAGAAAATAATGTTTAATTTTTGCCGAATTAATTCTAGTTTGTCCTCTTGTGAAATGATTTGTTACACTTTGGATAGAATCATATTGAACCGATAAAAATATATTATTTGGTAAAACTGATTTTGAATGAAAAAGAAATTGTTCAATATAATCATCACGAACATCAAGAAGACGTAACTCTGTTAAATAAGAATATTCAATGATCGGTAAATGTTGACCATCTTCATCTGATTTTTTATTTTGTGATTGAAAATTTTCGAGAGTCATTTTTTGAAGAAATGGAAATGTTTGAGATATTTTAGTAAAAAATTCATTTTGAAAAGGACGTTCATCAAATAGTGATATTTAACCAACATATTTGAATAATCCACCTGGAAAATTATTGCTAATTTTATCATAATTTTTCATTCTATATGGATATGAATCATAATGGCATCGAGTGAAATTTTGTTCGGGAAAATAATCAACACAAGAAATAACTTTATGATTTGAAAAAGTTTTAAATGTAATTTGAATGTCTTCATTTGATCGAATATCAATTTGATTAATATCATCTTTTATTTTTCTTTAAAAATTCATCTGAAGAAAGCGTGTCATTCAAAAGAACAAAAAAATCGTTATATCGATGAAAACAGGTTGAATTATTTCAGACACGTTTATCTCCTCTTTATCATCCTCATTACAGTATGGGTGTGAGTGTGGGTGTGGGTCTGATAGAAGATACACTCCAACATCCACACGCATCTCTCCATTCAGGTTTTCTCCAGTTAGTGTTGACGACAAGAGTCGAACGGGTGCATATTAAGATCGTACCGTCGCATCAGATTTTTTAATAATCTTATAGTGATATCTTACAGAACAGCATGATCTTTCAAGAATCTTATGGTACGCCATTATGTAAGATTTGCAGTCTGTTTGTTTTACTTGGACACCGTCCTATGCTGATATCTATAGGGTGGGGTGGGTGGGTGTGTGGGTGTGGAAGGTGTGAAACTGTGTCTGGGGAGTGGTACGGGTGTTGGTGAGAAGAAGATGAACACCCACACCCACACCTCACCCCCACATTCTATCCAGCATTTTATCAGTTGAGAATTCATTTTGGATTTTCTTAATGTTTCGAATATATAAAGTGAAACAGATAGAAGATGTATGTTAGAAGATAATATTTTAGTCTATCATCTAAAATGTATTATACTCAAGTGAAAGCTTGTTAGCGCAGCCCCTTTGGGGCTGAAATGTGGCACTCACATATGTTCTTCAGCCTCATTCAACTAATACAAAATACGTAAACTGAAAAATCTCTCTTAGACTATAGTTGTTTTTCAGGATAATCAATCGCAAGAGTAAGAATCTCTCTAATTCGAACAGAATGTTTTTTAAACTTTTTTCTATGGGCGCCTATTTTTTATTTGCATTGTTGCTATTCATTCATTATTTTTTTATTTTTTTTTAATTCGTTGTTCTTAATTTATCATTCTTATTATTATAATCATTGCATTGATTGACAAATAAGTGTATTTTACATATCTATGATATCTACAGCAGACCTTACAAGCTATCATATATATTAATCAAGTCACAAATAATGATATTCAATATTTTTCAAAATGATAACTTGATGAATTTTCCAAAAACAACTCGAAAAAATTTAGCACCTTTTATTATTGATTGTTAAGGTCTGTAATGGGGGGGGGGGGGGGGGCGCAAAAAAGTAAAAAAAAAAGTAATTTTCTTCGAAAATATATGTGAGTTCCACAAAATTACTATTAAGAAAATGCATTTATTAGACAACATGTTTTATATTTATACAATTAACTTTTACTTTCTTTCGTTTAACTTTTATCATAGCCATGTAAAAATCGACGTTGGTATTCAGTTTATAATTATATTTCAAAATAAGACAATCACAAAAACGACTCGCAATGAGTCGCATTTTCCCCACTTATATTTATAAAAAGAAGTGGACAATATACTTCATTAACATATTTTAACATCTTTTCTAATAATATAATTTCTTAATTAACGATTGAGTTTAGACACAAATAAAATAATTCTTTTTATTTCTGATTTAATTCTAAATTTACATGTTAAAGTAAAAGAACGAATATATGATTCTTATATTTGGTTATGGTGATTCCTGAAAATGTTCATATATTGATCGAAATGCTGAGAGATCAAAAGAATCAAATGCGTTCTTTTATTTTAACGTGTAAGTTCACCTTCTTAATAATGATATCAATTAAGTAATTATAATAAATGCTGAATCAGCGTCTCGGTAATATGCTTAAATAGATGTCTTCTATATCTGTTGAATTTTATATCTTTCAGCCATAAAAAAAAAAGAAATTCAAGATCATACCGAAACTTATGATAGATTGGTTTATTCCCTACGAGTTATATGACTCATCACAGTGGTATTTTTCGCTCTATTCTCGCAGAACATTTGTTGCCTTATGTCACGTTCTTTCCTTGCGTGTTATATTTACGTATGTTTTCTTGCTTGCTTATCGATTCTCGTTGATTAGCTCTGTACTGTTCTCCATTCTTTTGATTTATTCTATCTATGTACACCCATTCAATTAGTATTAAAAAATAAAGGTTGAATTCTCTTAACGAAACATGAAGTCTGCAAATACGAGACAAATGGTTTTATTTATATATTGAAATGAATTTTGTTTAACAGTTTTTTAGTCTCATAAAATTATTTATTTTCCTATACAAATATACAAGTTAGTGTTGATATCATGGTGTTGGGGCGAATAATGTAGGTAGACAAAACGCAGCACACGCATTGGAGCTGGCAGCAATGTTTGTTAATGGCACCGTCCATTTCATACATTTTGCCAAACAAGTAGTATAAGCTAACGGTCCTGCTGTTGTTGCTGTTTGTAATAAACTGATAATTAATAATATAAATGTGAAGTTTCTACTAAATAGTAGTTATATTGAATAATTACTTCGAACTGATGCGGATTGAAGCAGATTATTATAGTAATTTGATTGCCTTTAGGAAATATCGTTCGCCGATTTGACAATTTGTGTAGTTTTACAAGCTTTATATGCTACAGAAATCCCAAAGTATGGGAAATTACCGACTATCCTTATTCCATCTAGAGTCGTCTTGGAGAATTGCAAGATTTTATTCCTACTTAACATAACAAGCTACTGTTGTATTAATAGTCTTGTGTTCGTCACTTTCTCATTATAGTTCGTATGATTCACGAGAAAAAAAAATCATTTTTCTTTTTATTATTTCATGTAAAAAAAATCTTCCGTTCTTTTTTTTCATACATTCAAGCAAGGAAGCAAGGCAATAAGGGTGTGAGTGTTATTCGTGAATGAGAACAATACCCATACCCACACCCACACCCTTCTTTTCTCTTCGGTAATTTCAATGCTGATTTAAGAATCTCTTAGATTTGAAAAAAAATCTATTATCAAATATCTGAGTACAAAATGCTTTCAAAAAGTCTAGTATTGTATGGAGTATGCTGTGATTTATCTCACGACCTAGTGAGTTGCTTTGTATTAAAAGAAGAGTGCGATTTTGGATCTGGTTATACTCGAGCGGTGGTCTTGTTTTCACCAACACTCGATATTCACGTTTAGAGCTATTATGCAAATTTACGTAGTCGCATTGCATAAGTTGAATGTCAATAAGAATTGTATAGAGAGAAATGAGTCTGTGTCGCTGCGAGTCGTGCAATACGTCGCTCTTGCGTTCTGTCGATCAAAAATGTCAGACTTGTTAGAGAAAATTGTCTGTTCTCTTGTTTTGAAAGATTATATGGCATTTATGAATCATCGAAATGTCATCAATTGTTAAGGTACTACTCGCCTATGAAATTTCCCATATAGACAAAAAAAAAGTCACAAAGTAATAAGCAGAAATATAAGGATGTTGTTGATGATTCAAAGTGAATCAATGGAAAAAAACTTGGAGTACACGTTAGTAGCTATAGACAAATTATGGGAGGCAAGTGGAAATTCCTTCTCCCTGCAAATAAACATCATCGTATAAAGGTTACGTGGTTATATTTTTCGCATACTACAACTAAACGTATTATCTTTAAAATGGGCGCAGGTAAGATAATGCTTTACATAGTAACTCATTTTTTTTAAAATTAATTTATCACCTAATTGGCAGGCAACTCTAAAGCAGAACCAAGACCTCAGATAAAGTATGTGCCGAATCCGTCAGACACTGCAAAAATTGCAAAACTTGAAGCCAAAGTGGACAAGCTATCCAGAAAGCAATCAAAAGTTGAATATGTGAAAGAATACGTGCAAGATCCGCGATTACTTCGAAAAATCGAGCGATATCAAACCAAGAATGAAGAGCTAATGGAAAAATATGAAGAACTTTACCAAGAAATGCAAGACAATAAGATTAAATCTTTCGACGATTTGAACGAACATTATAGTAAGGGAGCAGAAGCATTGAAACGCATGGCTGCAGCGACACAGCCAATGTCAATGAGTGGAATTAATTTTGCTTTTTTTGGTATCACTTCATCCGGTAAGAGTACAATGGTAAATCAATTCCTAGGCGAACAAGTTGCAGACACCGGAGCAGGTGAAACAACTACTCAGATACAACGATATGATGGTAGTGGTTTTTCTCTTTATGATATTCCCGGGAGAAATGATGAGGTTTCTTATTTTTCTATGGAATATATTGCTTTTTGGAAGGGTTTAACAGCTCTCATTGTATTGATTACGGCAACAGCCAAAGAAATGACCAGTGTGTTTCGTTTGCTCGATGCTATTAACGTGAAGTACAACATTGTTGTAAACAAATTTGATCAACATCAAGAAGACGAGAGAGACACTCTTAAAACACAGATTCATGCAGAGATCAGACAACTTGGACTTAGAGGCGTTGAAAATGTTTGGTTCGTCAGCTCCAAGTTTCCTCAAATGTTCAATGATTGGCTTCAAATGGTTCATAGTCTCACTGGTAGACCACATACATCTAATAATAGAACAACAATGAATGCTATAGAAACCAAATATGATGCATCATTCTCATCACAACACAGAGAGAGCTCTGCGACATCAAGACGTGTACAAGATCAGTTTGCTTTGAAACTACGCGAACTGAGATCCATGGGATTCGACGACGAAAATAAGAACAAAAGACGTCTTACTAAATATAATGGTGATTTAGCTGCTACCGTTGATTCGCTTCGGCATAGTACCCGTCGCAAGTGACTAATTTATACGATGATGATTGTGAAAGTATGATAGATATTTTAATGCAATTTCAATAAATAAATCGGTAGCGAACCGGTGATCAGGCATATCGCTGCGTGAATCTTTTCTGAGATCTAACTTTTATCTATGCGTAGATTCGTAACTATGTGGTGATTTCAGTAGTTTCTTAGTAAAGAAAAGCTAGCCATGGGTCATATTTTGAACAGAACATACAACATTTCTTATCATCAGTCCAATAGAACGAGAACTATCTTGATCTGACTTTGAATAAAATATACCTTAGATAACCATACTTTGATCGATGCAACATCAAGAAACGTAAAATTGAAACGAATGTAAACATGAATGCTATCGACCTGCAAAACCGAGAATTTCCGGATACGGATCCGATGAGTTAAAATGCTTTGATCCTGAGTACGATGGCATACAGTTTTAAAAATTATAATCGAGATGAGTCTTTTTTTCTTGCGAATAGATTGAAATCTGTTGGAAAAAACTTTTAAAAAAATCAAAAAGTACTACCAAATGCACCAAAGTCTTCTTCCACTCTGAACGCAATCAGTAAGAATCTGTGGATCCACATCCCATGAATCTTACCGACACTCTTATCTCACTCACTTCACATCCTCAATCTTTGCATAATTTTACATAGAACTCAACATTGTTACGAATGTTTCTTTGTTGCGACAATCTATTTTATCAAATTCAAGAAAAAAAACTCCGAGTTTATTGTAGAAAAATATGCAAAACATGGCGCATAAAAATAATAAAGGAAGAATCAAGAAATTTGCCAATGTTATTATTGTGGAGAATTTGTTAAATAGTTTACCATTCCAAGCCAGTCGGAAAATTGTGCTGGATATTTAGCGCTAACAAAAAATAAATGGCCTACACTTTTCAATCCAATTTTCTGAATTTCTTGTCGTATTTGTTCACAAAACTCTGCTCGTTCTTCTTCTTCAACACGATCCATTTTGTTAACAACAATATCATAATTAAGATCAATCGCATCTAAAAACTGCATCATACTCGAATTTTCTTTGATAGTAGACTGAATAAGAATAAGACGGCGTGTTAATCCTTTGAAAAGTGATATATATTCCAAACTCAAATATGAAATTTCATCATTTCGACCAGGAATATCCCAAAGAATAAAATATTTACTAGGATAAGATTTTATTGTCACAGTCGTTTCACCAATACCCGTTGCAGCTCTTTTCTCACCAATGAGATTATTGAGTAATGTTGATTTTCCTGTTGATGTTAAGCCAAATAGAGCAACATTCTTACCTTCCATTCGTATCGGTTTAGCTTGTTTTGCTAAATGAATAAGTGCTTCTTTTGCTGTTTTGTCATTGTTTTCAATAGCTTCAAATGAATTCAACTTCTTCTCTTTCATTTCTACCATAAGTTTGTTCATTGCTTTCAATTGTTCTTCGTGTTCTTTTTGATAATTGTCTAATTGTTGTTGTAGTTCTTTGTTTTCGACGGCTAATTCGTCATTCGTCTGAATTTGCTCAGAGAATCGTTGATTTGAAGCAACTGGATGACTATTGCTTCCATGTGGTTGATGAATCGGAACATTATCTATTTGCTTTCGTTGTTTCTGATTGATTGTTATTGGAACGAATGCACATTGATCTTGAAAAGTTGGAAAATCATTTTTATCATTTGCTTCTTTCTCATTCAAATTGATTGGCTTGACAAAATGTTGAATTTGAGATGTTAAGACATCGTTTATCTCACTACGTTCTTGTATTGCTAATTGTTCAGACAATTGTTGATTTTGAGCAGCCAAAGCATAGTTTCTCTGTTGCTGTTCTCTTAGGTTTTGCTCTAGTTGTGCGTACCGTTGTCTACTTTCATTGGCCAGCTGATCCTGATCATCTATATAAGAACAATGTTATTGATTCTTTGTTTTGAAATAATCGTTAAAATAAAAGGTCATAGAATAGGCAGTGCTAAAGGAACTCTAACTCTGCTCAAGGAGTCGAAAGGACTTTTCGATCTCTCAACTATCAATAATTTGATTATTATTTCAAAGTTTGAAAGTTCTTCATCCATATCATTTATATTTATATGTGTAAAAAGTAATTATGATGTCCAACTAAAGGAATTTTAACAAAAAAGAATTAGCCTTTTCTTTGAAATGGGATTTTACAATTCGTTCTATAGAATCAAAATAGTGTTCTTTTTTATTTGTTGTTTTCTACTCAGATCAATATTTTTTAGAAAAATCGAAAGTAAAGAAGAAATTCAAATCGACATATCATAAGTTAATTGAATGAACATGAATGAGAGTTATTTCCTCTTCAGTTGCGCAAGTGATAGAAAATATATACGTGAATTTGTAGTATTATATTACAATTTAGTCTATCATGTCACATGAACGATAAAACTATAAATTTTAGATGTCAAATCTATATAATGCTTGATGCTGTGTGTTGCAATGGGAATAGTTTCTAATTTGATAAAATTTGTCTTTGAACTTCAAAAAAAGTTCATAGTAGATCTTCACTCTTCTTCATATTCTGTTTTATGGAAATTATATAAGACTAAATTTTAAAAAATCAATCTTTCATGACAACATTATGAAGATCGGCATATGAAAATTCATGGATTAAATTGCAAATCAATGCTATAAACGGTTTCTTTTCATCACAAGATGATTCATTTAAGGTCAAAAATTTGATTCCAATTATTATTTGAATATGCATAAAATTTAATTTTTGAATAATTAGAATATTCTAAACTTTGTTTACGTTTCTTTAATTCTATATTCTTTGACAAAATAATCCGAAGTTTTATAGATTAAAAAACTCACGTATTCTTTGACCATCAGTCAATGAATTGAGTAGTCTTTCAATGGCTAATGGTATCATTGGAACCCATGAAATCAATGTAGACAATGGCATATTGGAATTAAATAATGCAGTAAAAACCAAAATTTAGTAAATAAATACACAATAGTCTTCTAATATTACATAGCATAAATACAGATGAGAAATTCCAATGACATTACATAAGCAATAAAACTTGGATAGAACCCAATTATTCAACGCTGTACTTCTATAACGTCATGTCGAAAGAAATTGCTCCAGTCAATATTGATTTTCTTTTCTTTTATCGTTTAGACACAAACAGAACACGTCGCTGTTCTAGAAAGAATACAGCTGAGAACGCAAAAGCAATAAAAGCTGGTTGCATGATTCATTCGGAGTGTTGCATTTCACATGAATGATGAGAGAGAAAAATAATCCAATATCAAAATGGAAATTTCTTCATCATTTTCATATAGATTTGAGTAATAGGTTATGTGTAATATGGATCGTGTACTTGGAATTATTCCAGTCATTTATCTATATATATATGCTGTAATGCTATTCATCGAAAGTGTATTCTCCGACCAGTTTCACTGCTTACATTTTATTATTCAACGAGAATATGGCCTGGTTAGCTACTGTGTTTCCAGCAATACCAATGGCAATTGACGCCATTGCAAAACTAATTAACGGAAATGATACTAAGGCTGCACCTGGTAAGCTAATGGACTATTTAGATTTCAGATATTTTTCATAAGAATATGTAAATTTTCTACAATTATTTTCGTTTTGTGGAATGTTGTTTTTTGATCGCAATGGAGAAAAGTGATTTCAAATCCGCATGAAAATAGGAGCATTCATATTTAAAACAAGTCAAAGCAATCTATCTCTTGATTTTCTCTTCCTCTATCACATTCTAACTATGTTTTAAAGGCTTATGAAATTGAAGGAAAAAATTCAAGATTATTCTGAATATTTATGTCAAAGTAACATTTCATTTGTCGAGAATTTGTTAGTCGATTAGAACATTGTTTTTCTGAAACTGCTCTTGATTTGAGTATACTTCGAAAGAATAACTTACCTGCGGAAGTTAAAATGGCTTATCAACTCGATTAAATCGTTCAGATTCTTTCATGGACACAATCTCATTAGAGACGCTAAAACTTTAGGGCTTTGTATTTTTCTGTCAAACCTTTTCTCTTTCTTATACTCACAAAACTGTCGTAGATACAATGAAAAATTTCTTAGTTCTTTGTCCAATATTTTCTAAGTTCGTTATTATACTGACTTGATTCAATGTAGTGTATATATGCATCCTCGTAATATTATGTTTTGTTGATGATAATATATTTCGATTGCAAAAAAATGTCCGGAAAGCAAACGGTTGACAGTATGATTTGTGTTTCCCTCATAGAACAGTAGACATAAATAATCGAATGAGAATCTTTATGTAGATCAAAAGTTGTAAGCCATATGATTCAAATGAAAAACACAACATAGGTCTATTAGAAATATTGAACAATGTACGGTCAATATTTTTTTAATTCTTTTAAGAACCTGTTGTACAAAAAGACTCATCAACTGAGAACAGAAGCAAAGCTGCCGAAGCTGAAAATAGAGCATTGGTCAAACAAATGAAGGCGAGTCAAAATGAACAGCGGCAAAGAAATGAAGAACTAACTGCTCAAAATAAGAAGTTGCGTGAAGATCTAGATAGGTATCAGAAAGAACATGAAGAACAATTAAAACAAATGACAAAACTCTTGACAGAACTGAAAGATCAGAAATTGAATTCGTTCGAAGCTATCGAAACACATAATAAAAGAGCAAAAGAAGCACTCGTTCAATTAGCACAACAAGCTAAGCCGATAGGAATGACCGGTAACAATGTAGCCCTATTCGGTTTAACATCAACAGGAAAATCAACAATGCTCAATAGTCTTCTTGGTGAAAAAAAAGCTGCAACAGGTGTTGGTGAAACAACTTTAGAAGTTGCATCATATGCTGGACGAAATTTCGTTCTTTGGGATATTCCTGGTCGAAATGATGAAATATCGTATATGAGTATGCAATATATGTCAGTCTTCACAGGATTAACCCCACGTCCTGTTCTTGT